AAAAAAAATATTTTCAAGCGGGTGGAGGTGGGGGATCGAAAGAGGGTGGTCACTTGAACAAAACCCGATAACCTAACCTAACCTACCCTATTGATAAAGATATTTAAATAATGTTTTATATAACTTTCTCAATATTTTTATGTATTTTTCATTAGTTTTACCTTTGAGTATTGCTTAAGAATGACTATATAAATATTTACATGCCTAGAAATGTATAAAAATTGGCATATTTATTAACTTTGAACTCTCATAACTTTTTATGCGGGTGAGACCGCCACGAACTTTTATGGTACAGTGAAGGGAAGACCTCCTCTTTTGATCCCCACCAAAGGGGGTGGGGGCCATTATCTAGACCTTTACCTCAAAAACTGTTCCATATGCTGACAAGGTTCGTTTCAAGAGACCTGAAGAAGTGCGAAGTTATCGAATTTACGATCTTATTAATAATCAGTAAATTATTATAATTTGCCAAGATTGTACACACTTTGTTTTCTATCTAAATCACAAATGCTTCGGATTGGTTCCCACCAACTCTGCTGATGGCATAATCGCAATTTCTCAATATTATACATTATTATCATATAAGATAACCGAAAACGTACATTAACAGCACCTCTTTTTACAAACTCTAGATAAATAGTACTTGTGAAAAATTAGAACAATAATTATCAATTAATTAAAAAGAATAATAGATAGGTAACGTTCTTCTGATAAGGAACACCTGTGAGTCAATTAGTTTTATTTTATTAAATTCGTCAGCTTCTATACGATGAATCACTTCTTAAGATTCGATATATTCAAACCGATGATCGGCGGCATACCACCGTCATTACTGACACCTTATTTATTTTTATACAAATGATATACAAAATGAACAAATAAAAGAATTCGTTCTTTGTTCTAAAGATTCGAGATAACTGGCCTGCACCAACTACAATAATTAAAATGAAAATAATGTGGTAGCACTTAAATAAACAATTGCCGAAGTAACATAAACAGATATAGAGTCTACATAGGTAATTCGAGATAGGTGTCCCCTGTTTGCTTCCAAAGCTCAATCAATTTTCGTAACACTAAGGTGACAATTATGCAGGGTGAGTTTAAACATCTTTAGTAAGAAGTGTTTGAAGTTACTATAACATGAAATAGATTCAGTGTAGTAATTGTAGCGTCTGGTTTAGTTTGATTCTTAAGTCTCTTTAATATTATTGTGTCGAGGAAGCTCAGTAAGAAGGTTTTCTCAAGACTGTGTTGAGGATTATTTTAAAATAACTACGCCTATAACAGCATGTAATATTCCAATCCATAAATAAAATCCATTCGATGGACTTTCTGTGTAAGTACGTGTTTTATTTCAAATGAGAATATGACTCTTTTGTATATATTTTATGTGCCTATTCGCTGACATATCGCGGAGTAATTTTAGCACCTAAATTCGGTTTCATTTGCTGACAGTCGCATATTATTATTGTTTCCCACAAGCGACGGTTTATTATGTGTGTAGAGGAACTGTTGTTGAAAATATGACACTACCTAATCAGCGATAAATAAACAGGAGTCGAACGTATTGTTTTTAGTGTTTTGAAACAAGAGGCTTGCACTTTCAGTTCCCAAAATACAAATGAGACTTATTTGAGGTATTACGGTCCGGCCGGGTGAATTAGGATTAAGTTAATTTAAATATAAAACGGCTTAATTAATGGAAAAAAGAATGTAGATTTTTTTTGTTACAGGATTGGAAAGAATCGCTGAAGAATTGATGGGTCGAAGGAAATGGAAGGTATATCAAGAGTCGATGTACAGGAATTATTTGCAGCCGATAAACAACAACGTCGAGAAGTCAAAAGCCGTTGTCCAGCAGGAGTACCGAAAGGATTTAGGGGAGGTGCCTTTTACCAAGTTATACAAGGCCGAAAAATTAGAACAGGTAAACGATTACGCGCCATCGTTGGACGAAAAACTACGAAAAGACGAAGAAGTCGTTGCAAGTGCGAAATACAAAGTCGACGAAGACATCAACAACAAAAAGGTGGAGGAACGGTTAAAAGACTGGATACCAGAAAGCAAGTGCTACTTCTGTGTAGACGGCAAACTGGATAGTGAAAATACGATAACGCACGGGACTCCAGTAAGTTTCTTATCTATCTATAAGTATCATCAAGTACTCTAATTTTAATGATATAGGCTTTTATTTTTACAATTCCCTAATAGATTTCTTAAAGTTTTTCCCTAAATCTTGAGTCATAGGAGTAGAGGTAGACCTACTGTTTACAAATATAGTTAAGGGTATGTGGAATGTGGTAGCTTTACGAAAATTATCCCAGGATAGGAAAGAGTGGACGTGTCCACCCAGTCTTAGGGCTGATAACGGCCGTTGAAATACAATTTCTTTGTCACAGTTAAAGGAAATTATCTATCTTTGTAACTCATCCCTACATTTTTAAGTATATTTAACATCATGTCCCATTTAACATTGTCAAAAGCTTTTTCTAAATCTACAAATCCTTTGTACGCATTTTCTTTTTCCTATCGTTTTCTCTATTGTTACCCGTAAAGCTAGAATGGCCTCCCGCGTTCCTCTATTTCTTCTAAACCCAAATTGATCTTTCCCTAATATGAAGATTGGAAAAACTTTGGCGGTTGTTGTAGAACAAACAGAATAGCTCAAAACCCCAACGCCAAAACAAGACACTGTAGTTGTCCGAAGCACTTTTCGGTAACAAAGTGCTTCGGACAACTACAGTGTCTTGTTTTGGCGTTGGGGTTTTGAGCTATTCTGTTTGTTCCTTCCCCTAATAGTTCTTCCGATCTTTTTTCATCTTCCTCTGTACAATTCTAGTTAAGATTTTTGACGCATGGGAAGTTAAGCTAATTGTTCTAAATGTCTCGCACCTATCCGCGCCCCTCTTTTTATGTATGGTTACCACCATGTTCCGTTTATAATCCTCTGGGACTTTTCCAGTCTCGTAAATGTGATTAACTAACTTAAACATACGATCTCTAACCTCTTGTCCTGCATGTTTTATAATTTCCCCCTGTATCCTATCTACACCTGGCGCCTTATTATTCTTTAAGGTTTTTAATGCTACATCGAACTCTTCTCTAGTTATGGGATAACCAAGCTCATCTATCTCCACACTATCTTCCTTCTCTAATATATCTCCTAATTTATGACCTGCGTATAGGTTCTCTAAATATTCTTTCCATCTATCTGCCTCTTCCTCATTTTCTATCAAAATGACCCCTGCCTTGTTTCTTATATTATTACTACTGTATCCTACATCTCTAAAATTCCTTTTAATTGTATTATAAGCCTCATCGGTTTTACCTACCTCAACTTCTACTTCTTTATAGCTTTATATCTTTTTTGCCCTTCTTCGTCTGTCCTGTTTTTGTATTTCCGCCTTTCTTCTATTAATCCTACAATCTCCTTTGTTATCCGGGGTTTCCCACTTTCGTTTTGTTTAAGATCTAGTATATCTACAGCTATCTATTATATCGACACTAAATTTTAGTGAAAGCTATTCATCAAAAATTATCGCGAAATTTGAAAAATTATGACAAAGTGGAACGTGATATTTGTATGGAATGCAAAACGACCATGTTTACATAAAGTTCGAAAAAGTACGTGATCATTTTTATGTTATTGTCGGATTACTTAGTAGTCATGGCTCACATAAATGGCGTCACATTATGTGAAACGTCTTCGAGATGATTTAAATATTACCATATCTATAAGTATGTACAACGTACACTTATGATTAAAAATCGGGTAAGAGGATTCCAAGATCTTTACATTTCCTTGGATTCTGTCGCGTTCAGTAACACAATTTCGAGAAAAACATACCGTTCCCAAGTCTTGACGCCTTTATGATACGAAAAAGAGTTACGAATTAAAATGCATCCCTTCGTTCCTTAAGCTCGCTTGAGATTTAGATAACAGGATTAAACAGAAGGATTTGTACCGTATTGAATGTTCACCCTCGGATTTCCCGAAAACTATCAGAGCATCTCGCATCTATCTAACAATTCGTGAAGAAGTTTTTCTTTGGTTGCGTGTCTCGACACAGACATACTACCTTTTTAGGCGTTTCCATGACGTGTTTCTAAAACTTTCGTTACTTATTTGGGTGTTTCAATCGCCATCGTTAGAACACTCGAGTGTATTCTTAGACGCGTCATGTTCAACGGAGCATTGCAAGAGAGCAAATTTAAAAACAGTTTTCGTGGTGCATTTGAACTTCCGCTGAAATGGTTTAGCGGGAGAGCTCGGGAGTAACAGCAAAAATCCGAAAGTGGCACTAATCAGAAGTGCATGGAAGCTGCTTATTCCTTTGTTGTAGCCTTTGAGATTTGCGTTAATTATTGTAAGCAAAGCTGTGTCTCAGTAATGACATAAATAATGATAATTCCGAAGTAATTTACCGCTCCAGTCCTTGTACCAGCTAATAGGACTTTGATGTTGGAACTTCTGCAGCTGCTAACACATAATACACGTACGTATACACATAAACAAATAATACACACATTTGCTACGTAACACACCCTTAAACCATCCCGTTTATACATTCGTATTGTATCTGTATATATAACGACAAAACGCGAATTCGGATTGGACACAAAATACATCTTCATTTCGAATTAATAATTATATTTGATGACACGAGTGTATAAATACACACCATAGTCACAAATTTTGTCTAGGGTGTCTACAAAACTTTAGATTAGGAAGCAGTATAAAATCTCGTCTCAATTTGTGGTAATAGCGCTCGCCCTTGTGTTGCCTAAAGACTTTATTTATTTTATATGCTTTTTGTGGCATGGCTCGTTTCACACAATAAACCAATTCAAAACACCCCATTAAATTTATTTATGGGCCTCTGCAATAAATTGGATTGATTATTATTTACAATATATGTGGATCGAATTGAGTTATGAGTGTACAAATAAAGTATTCCTGAATTCGCCTTTAATAGTATTAGATATACGCAATTCAGAATTTGTGGAAACTTATTAAAGATTTAGACATTTGCATTAGTAATTACTGACAATTATACAAATTCAAAAATGTATCATCAACATAAGGCCTTTAATCCTAAGACTGATTCGACATGTATCTCTAATACTTCTTCCTTAGACCAATCTTTGCATTTCTCGAAAACTAGACCAACTGTAATCTCAATCTACCTCTATACCTTTTACGTCCTGCTTCTATTTGTAATGTGTCTTTAAGTGGCCCTTCATGTCTGAGAGGGTGTCTTACCAACCTGTTTCGCCTATTTTTACGGATTTCCATAACTACCTCGTACTTTTTCTAATACCTCGTCCTCATTTCTAACTTTTTCATCCACGGTCTTTTCAACATTCTCAAACGCATTCAACTTACCTTACTAACTTTCAAATGCAGTGTTTAGAGCAAATTAAATGCACTATTGACTGGTAGCTAATACCACCGTAGTAAAATTCTACTTGCATACCCATTACTACATTCAAATATAGTTATTCTTTGGTGGTATTCAAGCTAGGACAATACATGAATAAAATTCAGTTGTTGTAAGCCCGTTGAATGTTTGAGTACCAAAACTTTCGTCTTTATCTTAGTGATTTGCATAGAAATGCATTAAAGGAATGTGGATTGGGCTACAAGCTCAACATTTACCATGATCCTTTCTCATGACATTTCGTAGTTGCACACGTCAGACATAACATTAGGCAGAATCGATAAAATATAAGTAATAATTTGGTAGGTGTTAGGTATTAGGTATTACATTACCATTTCATCAGTAAGTAATAACATTTTTGTTTTTTATTAGTCGTTTTCATGAAAGATCCTTTGTCCTTTCTGATCAATTTAACTCACAGTTATATATTTTGTTCTTAAACACCCGTTACAATTTGATACATTGCTATAAAGAGTGAAATCAATGCTTTTTTATAAGCCATTTATCGTCGAAATCGCTCAGATTTCTTGTTAGTGAAATTTACGGTCAAATTCTGATACACGTAAAGCAGGGAAGACAGGACTCGCCCATGGGAATTGTAGCGTTTTACTGGAGCTATAACCATTGAATATATTCATGTATCTTTTCATCATCATCATCATCATAAGGTCGTCAGTCCTAAAACTGGTTGGACACGTACCTCCATTCTATCCTATCCTGAGCTTAACTTCGAATTTTCCTAAAACTAGAATAACCCACATCCTTAACTATTTGCGAACAGTAACCTAACCTAGGTCTACCTATACCCCTCCTAACTCCTGTTTCTGCCTCTAATATGTCTCTGACTAGACCTTCATACCTGAAAGATTCATTCTCGCTAATATTAATTAATATTCATATTACTTTCAATAAGATAATAATCTATCTCGATAAGTGTGTAGAAATATTCCTTTTTGGGGTAACGAATGAGAAAACATTATCAATATTTAGCCTAAACACTATTAGCTGTCCCATTTTTCGTAAGCACCACACCCTGTCCCATAAGATATATTTGTTAAGAAAGTTTGTCCTTGTTATTAAGCGTTACATACTCGAGCAAAATTTTGCAATAACACCACACGATGCCGTTCAGCTCTACTTCCCAATAGAACAATATTTCCTTGATGCTTACAGAACCGGCGACATTTTCAACAGCTTACCCGGAAAAATTCAACGATGTGCAATACAAATTCGCTCATTTTCGCACATTTCGATCTTTATAATGGCACACTAAAATTTTGCAATCGAGCACCTTTCTCAGAACTGAATGTTACAATTATTTGCATTTTTATATCGACTTGCAATGTCGCGTCATGCGACACTGTACATATAGTTGCATCGAATTTTAAGAAACAGTTTGTAATTACAAACCAACAACTTTGATGAATCAACAATTACCTATTTTTTTAACGGAAGACTCAAAAAGACTAGTATTCAAATGATATTATAGTTCTGACTGCATGCAAATTATAGGTAAGTACCATGTGATCGTAATCATCATAAGGTCCTCAGGTCTAAGACTGCTTCGATTTTTTTATATCTTGACCTAATCTACGCATTACCCTAAAACTAGAACAACCCAGCTTCTCAACTATTTGTGAACAGTAATCTAATTTAAGTCTACCTCTACTCCTCTTAGCTCCTATTTCTGCTTCCAAGTAGCTCTTTATGTCTAAAAAGGTGTCCTACCAACCTAGCGCCTATTTCTTATTGACTTCCACAACGCTCTCTGTTCTCCTACCCTTTGTAATACATACCTCATAATTTCTAACCTTCTCTATCCTGAAAGACTATATTTCAAATGTTTCGCCGCGCCCTAGCCCACGTTTTCTACCCGTACAGAGCCGTGCTCCAGATATATGCCTTTAACATTTTTTTTCGAATTTCTACAAAAATTAACCGTTTTCGAGCACAGATTTTTTTGTCTGAAAGGCAACTCTACCCTGCCCTATCCTCTATTTTATATCTCCACCATTCTGAATTATTTGATGACTCGCTAGATACCGAAAATCAACCACTTCTTCTAATCGTTCGTCTCCTATCTTTATAGTCGCCCTTCCCCTACTTTTTCTGCCCTTGCATATTAATATTTTTGTTTACTTTTATTTATAGTAAAATTTACAAGGACTAGTTAATAAAAATTAAAGTAATAGAATAGATGAATGATCAAGAATTAACAGAAACTCAAAATCTTTTGAATATCTTTTATTAATGACCACGAAACTAATTAAGCATCTAGTCCATGTATCACCACATAATTATTTATCTACTTTATTTATTTCAATATCACGATTACCATTCACCTAGAAATTAGTTCTGTTAAATTAATTGAAATATTGGAAATATTTTCGCTTAATTGATCAATAAAATTTGACCCAACGAGCCAATTAGTAGCTCATGTGGACAGATATAAAAGGCCTGCTAGAAACTCAACGTATTTAAGGTAAAATTTTTACCATTTAGATTAAATATACATAATGCTCTAAAATAGTACGCTAAGGCGTAGCAAGCAAGGTGGAATTCCTCAACATACTAGGGTTACCATTTATAAAATCAGTAAACCAAGATAAGAACCTGAAAAAACCCGGGCTTTTGAGGTTAAAACCTGAAATTTTTTTGGCGAATGTTTTTATACTTTGCCAGACGAATAAACATGATATTTCCCGAGTTCAAATTTTTAATTTCTATTGTTGTATTGGTTACATATATCAGATTGTTTTAAGATATCGACAGGTTAGTTCCTTTAAGATTATGTAAGATTTTATTTCTATTGTTTCAGAGTCCCCGGCAGTCGGACTCAGATTCTAGTTATAGTCAGAGCGATACGGAAGCACCTCCAACCCTTACTCCAGCCACGACCCCTGGCGTAGGGCCAAACAGCCACCAGGGCAACATGGCGACGATAGAGAGCGTAACCTCCATGGCAGCTTTAGCTTCGGCAGTGGCGGCACTGTCGGGTAACAATCCCGTCGCGCCCAGTCCACATCTCCCCTTTTACCCGCCGATGCCCCGTAACTGGTACCTGGCCTCGATGGCCAGGAGCTTTCAAACGGAGCGCAACATCGAGGCCGAGAAAACGGCCGGCGAACAACCACTAGATCTCAGTTCGAAGGGGGCGAACACCACAACTAGCAGCCCTGTAAATAATAACGTAACCCCCAATATAAGGCTACCGACACTCGATACCAAACAGATATTCAAGTAAGTACCATATGCCGCTTCGTTTTCTGTGGTGACATTTGAGAAGTACGATTTCGTTATATTACCTCGTTTAGTTTTAAATATTTCACGCTAAAGGCGCTATTTAGTCTTATTTTCATCAACTCCTCAAGACAATTGTCTTTTCTACACCTTTCAGAAAAAGGGTAACATTTGAAATACCTACACTCATACTTTTGATCCGAAGATTTACATTAAAAACTTGATCTGTTTCTGATGAAAACAATCGCGACAACAAGGTAGATTATGCATTCTGATAATTGAATGCTTTTTCTTACACACACCTAGTTAAAATAAAACAAATGCTTATTTGTCACTTACTCCAGCATGTGTACAACATATTTTTTACAGATATAAAATTACAATGAAATTATTAATTGTTATCGTGTACTCGTTGAAATATAATTATTATAGGTTTCTATTTGCTATTATTTATGTGCAGGTAGGTGCGTAGTTTTTTTTTTTTTTTAATGATAATTATTTAATTGTATTAATTGTTTCTATTATTTATCTAACGAAAACAGCAAAAGAAAGATATACCTCAAAATTTACCTACATACAAGTACATACATATTCTACCCTGTTTTCAAGATAGAAACACAGGGTAAGTAAGTAATTCCTTACCTTGGAAGTTATGATGAGCTTTCATTCCTAAAATTACGAAAAACCGTACTTTCGGGTTAGGATAAAAAATTGTATACGGGTGTCGGGAAGAAACAATTACGACATCCCTCATTCCCGGAAGGGAATTCCGTAGGTTCTTCCCTTGATGCGTATAATGCAATACACTATTTTATATAATTGTATAATAAAGCTGCATTACCAGATTTTGTAATGCGATATCTCTATAGGAATGATACTAATACGCCAAACTCCAAAATGAAACAGTTTGGAACAATTTTCTACTAATAACTAGGAGAATGGGCTTAAAACAGATTTTGAATAATAAATTTATTCACTTACCTTAAGTTCTTGTGTTCATCTCTCCTCGCGGCAATGGAACAAAACGACAACGCGACCTGAAAAAAAAGAAAACGTTTTTATGAAATCTATTAGTCTGTATTTGTGACCATATCAAAAAATTTAACGAAAATATAGGTTCTAAATTAAAAATATAAGTGAAAAGGCGACCTAGTAAACTTTCTAAAAATTATTCACTGAATTTTCCCTACTTTTCAGTGAATATTCTTCATTCTTCACAGTTACAGATTTGTAAATTAGTTAATATTTAATTGTTCCAATTAGTGAATTGAAAATACTAATCTCGAACCAGTGGAATTAGTAAAAAATAATGTACACAAATTCAGAATCAAAACACGTAACAAATGCTGATTTCACAGTGAAATAGATTGTTCAGAGGTCAGAGTTTCTCAGTTTAATCTCACTGAGAAGGTCAATTTTTCACTGGTTCTACTTTTAGAAAGATCAAAAACAGAGCGTTTTCGTGAAAAATCGCAAATGTAACTTCTACTAAGTATTTATACATATTTTAACAATTGTTTTCCAACAATAATATCCCGCACTATGGGACTCATGAAAAACATTTTTTTTATGAGCTTTTCAATGGGTACCTGTATATGTACCAGAAAAGAATTGGAGCAAAATCTAAGGTACCAACAAGGGAAACTTAGGCGAAGTTTGGTGTTTGTTTATAATAGGTGATACAATTCTGAGTTTTTAACTATGTTTTGTTTAATTGGAACGAGAATTATTAATAATTGTTGCAGTATTTATAGAATTTTTTTGGATGCAACTTGTACTAATTGCAATAATAATTATAAACCGGTTGTGAATAAGTGCTTTATTTACAGGAAACAACGGTTGATAAAGTAAACAATTAATAACTAGCCTTTTGGAAAAATATCGTTTGCTAAATTAATAGTTGAGTATATTGACATCAATACGAGAGCTCCTCCGTCAGTATAAAGAGGTCAATGATATGAGGACGACTGCACAAAAACAAGCAAAAATGCATTAACGCGGCTGCATTTTTCTTGAAACAAATAATTTTATCAGTCAAAACGTTAATTATCTACTAAACTAGGACAGTTTAATCTAATTGTAAATTTATTTTTTTCATAATTCTGGAAACACTTGACACTTATATCGTATCACGAACTCGCAAACGAAGTCGTTGCAGTTGCAACATCTTTTCATACCACAAATACTTCAAAACTTTAACATAATTAGCAAAAACAATATTTACATATGTACCACATTTATATATACATACTCCTTCACATCATAATCTTGCCGAAGATATTCCTTAAAGAATTGTAACTAATCCAAGTAAATTTCTGATAAATAATAAAAATATTATCGTAGCTACAAGAAACCTTCACATTAACAGTTCAAATTTTACGATTACTTGGATATGTCTAGCTACTTTAGGTATATGTAAAAATGAGATATCTTGAAAGTACTTAAAGGTACCAATTATATTTTTGCTTTTAATTAAAAGTTGAAGTAAGTTTGTACCTTAAAGTGGGTAACTAAACGTCGTCTTTGCAGTAGTTAATGTCTCGTCTTATCCTTAAGAGTTTTCTAAAGTTTGTTAAAATATATTAGTATAGAGTTAGAACGTCTAATACGATAAAATTTTCGATTTTCTTTCTTATCCGAACTCTGCAATTTATTGGTCTGTTTTGACCATACATTACCAATGTCAGTAGTCACAGGAGTAAAAGTGTCGTCAATTTAAACAAAGTTTTTACACAGGTAGGTATCGTAGCTACGCACACTTATACGTTTACGTGTAGGAATAATAAAGTAGAAAAGTTTTTTTAATAGGTAAACGATCATGCCGTATATATTAATGTTAATTTAATGAAATGACAGTGATAAGAAGCAAGTAAAACGTCTAAGTAAACAAAAGGAATGCATTGATGCGTTGCATGGTCGATATAAATCGACATTGTTGTGCATACAAGCGACAGTCTCCCTATCTCAAAGCAAAAAAGGCTTTAGAGGTCAATCACTCTAAAATGTAGTGCATACGATCTATTTATTTTTTATATCTGTACGAACTTTATTTGCCCAGTGATATTGCATCGTAGCGTGGTGCGTCTCTCGCATTTTCACAATTCTGGAAAATGGAACCGCATCGTAAGTTTAACCCTTTAGCATATTTTAAAATATTTTTTATGTACGTATACAAAGTGCTTTTGTCAAAAAATATTGTTCTATTTCGGAATTCGTTTTTCGATAAATATGATAACTTGGTGCCTGCATAAAATATAGTAAGAAATTACGATTTTATTATAAAAAAAAACACCTGGTGTCGATAGCATTTCCTTTTTTTTTTCGTTTTGTTTCTGCCAATGTTTGTTTGCCGGTAATACAACTAATTATGGTTCAATTTACGATAACAACCGCTTCCTCCACGTAAATACTAAATGCGAGGTCAGTAATATTTATATACCTATTCGTTGGTTTTTTTTATCTCCAAATTGTTGTCCTTGTAAGGTTTCACGACAATAGAAACAACTTTTATCGGGTTGACGCGTGTTTTTCTACAGACTGTGTAGGTACATCAATAAAACAGAAAAAAACAATATGTCGATACTTTCTCGATTCCTTTTATCTGAAAATCGTTTTACTTCAAGCAACAATACTCCGAATAAAAATTTTTTTCTTTACTTTTTAAGTTTTCTTTTGCGACTGCTGATTTTTCAATTTATCGAATAAGAAGTTAAATCTTTCTGTTTGAAGCATTGGGGGATGATTTCTATAGTTGTACCTTTTAGAGGGTTAGAAAATAATAGTATTATTATTAAGAAATTCCAGTTAACAAAATAATGACGATCGACCTCCAACGGTGAGAAATAATCATTAAGCAATCTGCATCTGCGGTCAGGCGGACACATAATATGCACAGACATCACATGCATAAAATGACATCTCAGAAACAATATCGGTCCGTTTCCCATAGAGTTTAAAAAGCCCAACTGGGACAAGGCCAAAAATGCTCCGGAGATAGCGTACTCGTATGCATATATTCTCTGATTGCTTTAACCTCATCCTAACTAGGTCTCAATCGAAACCGCACGTCTCAAATGTACACGCACAATACAGATAAATAAATATAGTATTCTACCGACATTATACATACATATATTATGCATATTATGTATAAGTTTGCGACATCTTATACAACTATAATTTTAGTTCTGATTTTAGAGCGAAGCCTCGAATGTCAATAGCAGGGAGAAGAACGTACACCGAAGACGAGCTCCAAGCTGCGCTAAGGGACATCCAGTCGGGCAAGTTGGGAACCCGACGAGCCGCCGTCATATACGGCATTCCCCGTTCGACACTCCGGAACAAAGTCTACAAATTGGCAATGGAACGAGAACGGGAGTCCCATTTGAACACGTCGACGCCACTGAAAATTGACGAAGAAGAAAACATAGACGACGAAAAAGAATTATCCGGGGCCGAAGAAGAGAAAGAGGTCGAGAAAGCCCTCCAAGCTCCGCTCCTTTCGATGGCCGACATCCTACGATTTTCCACCCTCGATAACCAAGAAGCTCTCAAACACTTGTTGCAAAGAAGCAAAGAAGGTCATGACGTTCTGACCGGTCTGGAGCACAGTGCGATGGGACCGTACATTCAAAATCTGATTCTGGCCAGCGGGAATCTATTTCCCGGTCAAAAAATCGTCCCCGAAAGCGAAACGACAAACCCATTACTACCGGAATTTCTCAAGAGGATGATGGTAGAAGACCATTTCAAAGAGCAATTGATACGGAGCCAAACGAACAACGGAGAAAACGACAAAATAAGCAGGCCGAGTCCCTCGAACTCGGTCCTGGCGCGCTCCGAAAAGTCCAGGTCAGAATCGGACATGGAAACCGACGAGTCACCTTCTAATGTGATACTTAAAATTCCGTCCTTCAAGCCAACCACGAGTAAAAATGGAACGGAGGTGTTAAAAACAGCAACAACAAACTTAGCAGCAGCAGCAGTAGCAACAGAACCGAGTGTAATTGTTTCGCCGCCGATCGCGAAAGAATCCGCCTCGCCGCCAATTCTGCCGGGACGTGAAATGACGCTGAAAGACGTCAAGGACGTCGTAGCAAGGACTATATGCCAAAAGTTTCAGCAAACGCCCGAACCGATGCGCATCCCTCACATGATGGACATCGACTATAAACGGGGCGGATTCACTCCTCCGATGTCTAACATTCAAGGCATGAAAACGCAGCAGGACATTGCCCGACCCTATCAACCACCGCCGCCTCCGCCGAAACCAACTCAATCCACAACCTGTACGACCACGACAACTACGGGGGGGAAAGGAACGAGGCCGAAACGCGGTAAATACAGGAACTATGACAGAGACAGCCTGGTAGAAGCAGTCAGAGCGGTGCAAAGAGGGGAAATGTCCGTGCACCGGGCTGGCAGCTACTACGGCGTGCCACATTCCACATTAGAATATAAAGTCAAAGAAAGGCATCTGATGAGGCCGAGAAAAAGGGACCCGAAACCGAATCCAGTAGACGAGAAGATCGCTTCTTTGAAACAGAACGATTTACGAAATGCAGCCGAAAAAATGAAAACAACTGTGATGAAACCGCCGCAAACGAAATTTCCCACTTCACCAAACGGTATGAAACTGCCAATTTTCGATCCCACCATGACTCCTCTAGGGTACACTCCGCCACCTTTCCCTTTCTGGCCGCATCCCAGTTTTCCACACATTCCCATGGATTACGGTCGTAGTCCTTCAGCTACTTCGTTTCCACCGAACCCTGAACAATATTTTGCAACTCAAATGATGCAAAAATTACAAGAAGACTCGAACAAGACTCAAAACTGTAACGTTCCGGCGTCGGCCATCAATTCGATTCCCAATTTGCCTAAAAGTGCCAGGCAAATGGCGGAATCGTTACTCGATAGCTCGGGAACGAACGGATCATTCCTGGACGGCATCATAAGATCCAGTTTGGAATCAGGTGTGCCGTCGTCAAACGACGAAACGTCACCGAAAGACGAGAAAAACTTAGCACCGGAAAACATGTCGAACAAAGCGTTGCTCGAACAGTTATGCCGTAACAGTAGATTAACGCCATTAACAAAACCGAATCTGACGGAATCAAACAGCTCAACGGAAGAGAACTTTCGTAAGAACGCGAGTCCGCTTAATTTTAGCAGTACAATGAGCGACGAACATTCGTCTGGTAGTGGTTTACACTCGAACCAAGGTGGTCGCACCGATCGCGAATGTTCTCCGCGGGGAGACCATTCCGACGTGCCGACGATAGAGCTCTCGAACGATTCAAACGAATCCACGACGACGGATCAACCGCGCAACAACGGGCAAACTCAGGAAGAACGGAAAACGATCCCAACAGCGAGAATTTTTCTGAAACAAGAACTGACAAAAGTGGAGAACCTCAAGCCCGAGATGCTGGTCCGTTTTCGTGACGCATTGCACGACGTCGACCGGAACGGTACCGGAGAATCTGCAACAGGAAGTGCCTCAGAATCGGATGCGGCTCAAGACTGACATCAGGTTAACGTTTGCGCAAGGTTTTTATACTGAGGAATCAACATTCCTCGCGGTTATATTGTTGAAACGTTTCCAGTTCGGAAACTTATGGTTGTTGTCACAAGAGGTCGATGACGGTGTTTGTTGATTATTATTATGATTATTATTATTATTATTATTATTTGTATTGTTTCTGTTGCAGTTAGAATAGTGAATTTTAAAAGAGCGTTCTGTTTGCGGAACTTTCCACACCGAATCGACTCGACTTGACTGTTGATCGAACTTCTCTCCTTGCTTTCATCGGTAAGTTTTTCAAAACATAAAGTATTTAGATGCCCGTCCCTCTACAGAAAACAATACGTATTTTTTCCATTGAAATACAAATACTAGGGACAATCTTTAAAGAATTCTACGAAAAATTAAAAATAAATTAGTTTTGGTATTAGACCGTTAACATTCGTTAAAAATTAATTTTTCGATTCTCTATTACAAAAAGAACAGCACCGATTGCTATCCAGAAAGTTACTGAAATACCACCGAAAGAGCGACGCATTTATACTAAAAAAGCGCCGAAACAGCACTAAAGGGATACT